CCTCCCTGATGTCCATCACCCAGCCACCCTATCCCTCCTCTCCCACCCTCAGCAACCCTCAGTTTATTTTGTGAGATTAAGAGTTGCTTATGGTTTGTCTCCCTCCCTGGTCCCATCTTGTTTTTTTTTTCCTTCCCTACCTCCCAAACCCCCTGCCCTGCCTCTCAAATTCCTCACATCAGGGAGATCATGTGATAATTGTCTTTCTCTGATTGACTTATTTCACTTAGCATAATACCCTCTAGTTCTATCCACGTCGTTGCAAATGGCAGGATTTTGGAGGTTTTTTGATGGCTGCATAGTATTCCATTGTGTGTGTATATATGTATATATATATATACCACATCTTCTTTATCCGTTCATCTCTTGTCAGTTTTTAAAGTGAGCTCTATGCCTGATTTGGGGCTTGAACTCAGGACCTCAAGATCAAGAATCACAGCTCAACCTACTGAGCCAGCCAGGTGACCCATTTCCCCTGTTCTTAACATCTAATATTAACAGGTTACATTTGTTGGAATTAATGAACCAGCATGCCTGGATCATCAGGGAGCCTGCTTGAGATTCTCTTTCTCTTCTTCTGGCCCTCCCACCTCTTCTGTGTGTGTGTGTGTATGCATGTGCCCCTAAGACTTGCTTCTAAAAACTCTAGAAAGGGGTGTCTGGGTGTCTTAGTCAGTTAAGCATCTGCCTTTGGCTCAGGTTATGATCCCAGGGTCCTGGAACTGAGTCCCACAACAGGCTCGCTGAGAAGCAGAGTCTGCTTCTCCCTCTCACTCTCCCATCTGTGCTCTCGCTCTCTTTATCTCTCTCTCTCTCTCTCTCTCACACACACACACATTAATAAATAAAATAAAATAAAAAGCCTAGGAAAACACCAAGAAATGGGACAATAGAAGACAATTAGCTAAGATAATCATTGAAGCAGAATGATTCATTATACTTTCCTCTCTATTTCTGTTTATGCTTAAAATATTTCATAATAGAAAGTTTTTTAGGGGCTGCTGAGTCGATTAAACATCCAAGTCTTGATCTCAGTTCAGGTCGTGATCTCAGGGTCTCAAGTTCAAGCTCCACGTTGGGATCCACATCCAGCATGGAGCCTACTTAAAAAAAAAAAAAAAAGTTAAAAAAAAAAATAGAACCAGAAAAGTATCACTTGCCAGGCTGTAAAAAGGGTCAAAAAAGGAAACACAGACAGCTAGATATAAGACCTTCAAACAAATACACTCACACTCACACATATATTTCCTTTGCCAGGTGACAAGGGCCCTCAGGGCCATCCCTAGGCGAAATTTTGAAGAGGACAATTTTTTTCTTTCATGTGTTCAGACCCATGTGCTGTTTCAGAAACCCCAAACTTATTGTTCTCTTCCAGCCTCCTCGGTTTGCTTCTAGGAAAAAAGTCTGAGCATTTGAAAGTCCCTTAGTGACTGTACATTGAAGTTCTGTCTTTCCTAGGGATTTACCTTTCCACTCCATCTTCACTTGGGCAAGGCGTTGCACTGATTCGGACTCAGGAATTTTAGGCAAGCAGTGTTCGGCAGGCATGAGGGCCATCCCCAGCGCCCCTGCCATCACACCAGCAGGCAGTTTGCCTCCAAGCCCTGAAGGAGTGGCCTCCTGGCTTTTTCTAAAGGGATGTGGAGCACAGTCTGCAGCCTGCCCATTCCGGACGCGGCATGTCCCAACTCACCTCTTGAACCAGTAAGTAGTCCAGAAAGAATGGATCCTTGCTCACAGGGCAGCAAGACTATGTTGACCTCATGGCTCACCTTGATTCCCTCTTGGTCCATTCCTCCTCTTCCCTGAATGGAAAGCTGAAGCAGCTTCTTCCTGAGACTGATGGAAATTGCCATCAGGGGATTCTGCTACTATGGGCAGATGGTTTTTTGTTTGTTTGTGTGTTCGTTTGTTTGTTTTAGAGAGAGGGGGTGGGGAGAGGCAGAGGGAGAGGGAGAGAGAATCTCAAACAAGCTCCATGTCCAGCTCGAGGCCACCATGGCTTGGGGTTGGATCTCAGGATCCTGAGATCATGACCTGAGCTGGAAGTCAAGAGTTAGACACTTAATTGACTGTGCCACCCGGGTCCACTGGGCAGATGGTTTATCTTTCCAGGTTTGTCTGTGTCTCCTCTCTATCCTTGGCCTCCTTGGGCAGGCCTGGATCATAAAAGGCAGAGTGGGCAGATACTTACTTCACCCAAGAAGGGAGATGCCAGGGCCCAGCTCAGCTCCATATACAATAAGGGGCTGCTGCTGGCCCTTCCTCTCCACTGTGGTCCCTTCTTACTCCCTTGGGGTAGATCATAGCTGGCTCTGGTTCTGTTCTGAGGACAGGACCTCCTGGGACAGCTGCACCTACATTTTGTCAAATACATTTCCTGTTGATTTGATTAGTTCCCTTCGAAGCAATGCATTTATGAAAGGAAGGAAGATTTTGCAGGCATGTATTTGCACAGGCAGCCAACCTCCTTCAGTCACACACACACACACACACACACACACACTTACTTTCTCCCCATCCACCCACAAAGTGTCAGTCACATTTAGAGTTTGCACAAATGCACACCCTCCCTCGTACATCACAATGCATACCCTCTCACCCACCTACACACTTCTTCCATAGAATCACACCTGCTCATATACCCTTAAAGCACGTTCCTATACCATGCTGAGAAAGAGAGAGAGAGAGGTTAGGAATGTGTTGCTACAGCTCAGGAAGGCAAGCACTCTGTGTGGGAACTAGAAAGTCACAAGACCAGGACCCCACAGTCTCCCCTTCCTCCTGCAAATAGAAATACTAAGAATAGAGAAGGACTCGAAAGCAGGGGTAAAGAAAGCAGACTCAGAGCTCCTGGCCCCACCAGGAAAGCGTGCCGCCCCAGGGTAAGAGTGATGTGCCTGAGGCCTGCACTGAGATAAGAATTTGTCTAGGCTGTGAGCGCAGAAAGCGGTGGCATCCACGTGTCCAAAAAGCCCATTTGGACTGGTAGCTAAGGGTCATCCTCAGGCTTGGATTCCCCGTTGGAGCTCAGGAAAGGAAGGAAGAAATGAGGGGAGAAGGGAAGTGGAAGGTTGGGTTTGGGCTCTGCGTTCAACATCCTCTGGGAGAGAGTCTTTCCAACGTCAACCAGAGTCAATAGGAGAAGGCTTTCTTGCACTGGAAACTTGAAGTCCCCTGGAGAGGGGAGAGATGTGGAGAGGGCCCCAAGGGGTGATGAGTGCCCAAGTGCAGAGCTGCGGCAGCCACTTTGCCGCAGTAGCAAATAGGGCCCCAGTGCACCTGGCTTCAGCCCCAGACTGCCGTCTGCCTGCCCTGACCCGACTCAGCCCAAACTCTGTGGATTCTGGAACAGAAAAAGTCTTTTCCTTTAAGAAAGGGTCCTGGAGCCCACCCACAGCACCCAAGGAAACTGGCAGAGCACCAGGCTACACTGAGACTTCAGGCCCCAGCCATCCAAGTCTGACAGCCCTTCTGGAGTCTCTTCCGGTGTTGCCACCTGAGGGCGCCTGGAGCTGGGTCTGAGGCTGCCACCGGCACTGCTGTTGTTACTATCATTAGGATAATTAATAAGCATGCACTGACGGGGCCAAGTGGAGGAAGAGGAAGGCCCCTGCTGCTCATGAGAATCCCTGGAAAGATCCAGTGAGGCTGTGGGGGAACAGGGGACTGAGTAGCTCGTTCCTCCTCCCTTCCCAGGACTTCTGGAAAGGGCACTGGGGAGTAGGTTTCAGGGGACAGGTAGAGAGGCAAGGGCTAGGGGAGGGGAAACAGTTGGTAGGCTGCGTTTGGAACCCGCCCTCCATCTGCCTGACAGGATGTCTTTGGGCACAGCCACCCCTGTGATTACTGGTTGTGGGGCAGGCCAAACTCTGAGGCAATTATTCATTAATTTAACAGGCATCTGTCTGTTTATTTATGGAATGCCTACTATGTGCAAGGTGGTCTGCTAATAATAGCTGAGGTTTTATTGGATACTGTGAGGACACAGCCAACTTTCACACCATGTCCTAGGGGATGGGGGTGGGGAGCAGAAGCAGAGGAAGCAACTAGGAAGAATGACAACCCCCAAAGATACCGACCATGGGGGCTTTGGCCTGTGTGGTGTAGCAGTGGGGATGTCAGATATAAAACGTGAGGACTACCAAAAAGATCTTGGAAAACTCGAGACCCGAGGCCCAAGATCCTGGAGGAAAAGGGGTGGGAAATGGAGGCCCAAGATCCTGGAGGAAAAGGGGTGGGAAATGGAGCACGGATAAGGGAATTTTGGGTGAAAGACTAAAGAAAGAGGCAGGAAGGAGTGTTAGTAAGTCCAGTGGGGGGAGCTTTGAGTCACGATTTCGGGGGCTCTGACGGTTGGGAATTTAGGGGGCTGAGATGCTTCATGTCATGAGATGGGGGACGGGATTCTGGCATCAGAGCCTGGACAAAAGTTGGGGTGCGAGAGGTTTTAGCGAGATTTGAAAGCAAGATCTGGAGTGCTGGGTTTGAAAGGATGCTGGAGAGTGTTAAGGGAAAGGAGGGGCGTGGCTGAGTGCGCCACCCGGGCACCCGGCCGATGCTCGGGTCGGCCCTGGGGAATCTGGTCCGGGGTCCCGCCGCGGCTGGGGAGGTCGGCGGGCGGGGGCCGGCCGGGCAGGCGGTGGCAGGGTAGGCGCTGGGAGCCAGCGGCTCGAGGCTCCGCGGGGGGGCGGTACGAGCTCAGGCTTGCGGGCGGGCGGGCTGGGGAGGCGGCGGCTCGCAGAAGAACATGAATCAGCGGCGGCGGCGACGGCGGCGACGGCTGTGGAAGAACCGCGGTGGCCCAGCGGCGGCCCCGGGAACCCCGCGCTGCTGACTGCGGCCGGGGCGACTCGAAGCGGGCGCGGGTCTCGGAGGCGCGGGCCCCAGCACCGCCCCCGGGCCGGCCCCCGCCCCTCCCGCGGCCCTACTCTCTCGTCCCTCCCCCTCCGCCCTTCCTCCCTCCTCCCTTGTCGCTCGCGGGCCGGGCCCGGCATGGTGCGGCGTCGCCGCCGATGGCGCTGAGGCGGAGCATGGGGCGGCCGGGGCTCCCGCCGCTGCCGCTGCCGCCGCCGCCGCCGCCGCCGCCGCTGCTGCTCCTGGCGGGTCTGGCCGCTCTGCTGCTCGCGGAGCCCGCGGCCGCAGGTAGGGGTTGGTCGGGAGGCGGCGGAACGCTGGGGGCTGCGGAGGGGCGCGGCCGGGTGGGCGCCCAGGGACCGCAGCGGAGCGAGCCCCGGGCCTGGGCGGGCGGGAGACTTGGGTGGGGGTACCCAAGCTGGAAGGCCGAGGCTTGGGGGCTGGGGGAGGGGGCGCAGCGCAGCGTCCGCTGCTGGTTCACTGGCCGGGGCCCCACCCCCAACTTTCTCGCGTCCGGGGCTCTTCTGGCAGGGTGGAAGGGAAAGGAGTGGGGCTGTGGGCTGAATGTTCGGGGGAGGGGAGCGGTGTTAGGAACTGGATGTTCCCGCCTCGACGTATCTAGTTGTTTGCTTCCCCCCTCCCAGTCCTGGGGACCCCATTCTGCCCGCCTTACACAGGAAAGTCCCACTCCGAAACCGCAGGGGCTGGACTCAGCGCCCAAGAGGCACACCTACACCATTTGGGCACAGGGGCTGTGAGGGTGCCCAGTCGCAGAAAACATCTGGACACATGCTAGTTCCTGTACTCAGTCAGAGCTTCCTGAACCCAGGAATGCTGGCGAGGATGGGCCGGAGCAAGGTGGCCGGTCCTTGTGGGGGTTATCCTTGTGTTCCCCCGTGGCCACTGAGGTATTTGCCCGTGGTAGGAGCGAGTGCTTCTTGCAGCACCTGCCTCTCCCAAGTTCACACGACACACCTATGGGACTGTTGGGTGTGTATGGGGTGTGAGGTTATCCCTCCTTGCCCCGTGACCGGCCCTGTGTCACAGGCTAAAGCAGCAGCAACAGAGCTGGCACCTGGTTTTGAGACCAAACTCCCTGCCACATGAGATTCTCAGGGAAGGGAAGGCAGAGAGTGACAAGTATTTACAAGAGGGGAAAGGTGTGTATCTCAGGATCAGAGAGCCCAGGAATTTGCCTAGAGTCTCACAGCAACGGGCAGGATGAAGCAGGACTGGATTCAGCTATCTGGATAGTTCACCTGCCCCTCTGCTTAAAAACACACCGGGAGATCAGGAGAGGGGTGTGTGTGTGTGTGCATGTGTGTCTGTCTGTCAGCACACAGAGGGTAGTGTTCCACAAGGTGGTTCCTGTTGGTGTGACAGTAGCTCAGGGGTCTTGGGCTCCCTGCTCAGGGCCCCTCCCCTCCCTCTTCCCTCCCACCTCCCTAGCACCCGCCCCTGCACACATTCAGGTATTAATAGAGCGGATGGCTGCCAGGAAGGCTGCCATGTGTTTGATCTGACGTGGTTCTGCAGCCATATGTTCTCCACTTCAGGGGAGCACCCCCTCCTTCTCTTCCTCAGCCTCCTTTCATTTGCCCGGGTGGGGTACAGCGCGATGCCAGCAGCAGTGTGAAGTCTGGCCAGACACCCTGGGCCGGCAGAGAGCTGGCCGCCTGTTGATCTCCATGGGTGCAGCTGTCATTCCCAGGGCAGTACCTGCCCCACGTGTATAAGAGGGCCCCACCTTTTTAGCCTGGCTTTTTGGTGGTTGCGCTTGACCTTCACATCGCCCAGTCAGGAGGTTTGGGGAAAAGGTCACTTCCTTAGAGCTGGGGGGAACTTGGCAGTAGCAGAATTGGTGCCTGGAGAGCTTATCATTTTCCTTCCCCCAGCCTAGGCCCAGGCCACCTTACCGCCCACACTGTCCAGCCTCTGTTTTCTTGACCATTAGCCGAGGATGAGCCCTCTGACCCAGAAACTAGGTTCTGGAAGCCGATGGGGGACATTTCCAGAGACAGTCTCCCTGTCAAGTGGGCTGACACCTTCTCCTTCCCACCTCTCAGGCCTGAAGCTCATGGGAGCCCCGGTGAAGCTGACAGTGTCTCAGGGGCAGCCGGTGAAGCTCAACTGCAGTGTGGAGGGAATGGAGGAGCCGGAGATACAGTGGGTGAAGGATGGGGCTGTGGTCCAGAGTGTGGATCAGGTGTACATCCCAGTCAGTGAGCAGCACTGGATTGGCTTCCTCAGGTGCAGGACGGTGGGGAGGGTGTGGCATGCCAGCCTGGGGGCAAGTTGTGCTTTTTCCTTGGGCTTGGGAGCTGGGGGCAATGCTGATGCCCAGCGGTGTGGGTTTTTGTTTTTGTTTTTGTTTTTTTTTTTAATTTGGCAACCTAAGAAAACTTCCAGAAGTGGGGGCAGGCTCAACCCACTGAGTCTGCCCAGCATAGCTGCGCCCCCCACCCCCTGACCCTAGGAGGTGAGCCTGGTATCCTGTTCCCACAGCCTAAAGTCAGTGGAGCGCTCTGATGCAGGCCGGTACTGGTGCCAGGTGGAGGATGGGGGTGAAATGGAGACCTCCCAGCCAGTGTGGCTCACGGTAGAAGGTGAGGAAGCAGAGACATGGGTGGGCATGTCGCTCTGATGCATGTGCTGCTAGTGACCACACCTGTGCGGAAGAAAGCTCAGTGGAAGTTGATTTGCCCCATTGCCCTCTGGGGCCTGACTGCACCAGGCTCCAGGCCGACCCCAGACATCGGAAGACCCCACTTACTGGAGTCTGGGTATTTCACAGCTAAGGGGGCAGTAAGGACCTCCAATCTATGGGGTGCAGTAAGTTTCAGTTGTCTGAGCCGCAAGCCTAAGCACCCATCTGGGGCTGGACCCTGTTCTGCCAAGTGGCAAGGCCAGGAGAGGGAGGAGGGATGGGGGAGGGGAGGAAGGATCCGCAGCTGTGGGAGCTCAGAGCTGTTCAGCCCAGGAAAACAAAGTGACTAAGAAAGTAACAAAGGGCCCGAACAGGATCTGGGAACTCTGCTAAGGCTTCCACCCACTCCCCCTCCCTTTCTGACCCTCCCCCAGCTTCCCACCCTCTGCCTCCTCCCTTGCTCTGAGAAGGTTTTTGGAGCTGGTCTGGGAAGAGTCCAAGGGGACAGCATAAAGGGTATTCCTAAGGTGCCCAAAGAAGAGAAGCTCCCCCGTCAAGCTAACCACCTGTTTGGCGGTTGACCCAATCCTAAGGGGGCCTGTAGGACCTTCTGCATAGAGGACTGTAAATGGTAGCAAACTTGTGGTTTGGGTAGTTGGAAACCAGGAAGGGGCAAGGTTCATTCCCCAACCCCCTTTCTCCTTAGGTGTGCCATTTTTCACCGTGGAGCCAAAAGATCTGGCAGTGCCACCCAATGCCCCTTTCCAACTGTCTTGTGAGGCTGTGGGTCCCCCCGATCCTGTTACCATTGTGTGGTGGAGAGGAGGCACGAAGGTTGGGGGACCCGCCCCCTCTCCTTCTGTTTTAAATGTAACAGGTGAGCAGCCGCAGGAGGGGGCTTTGAGTAGGGGTGGTGAGACTGGGCAGTGTGCAAATCTGTGTAAATCACCAGGTCTGCTGTTGTGAGTATCCGGAGCCCACCTGGGGGCCTGGGGACGTGAGCTGTACCATTACTAAGCTGGTTAGTCAGGTGTGCAGGGCTGGGCAGGTGAGCTGATCAGTGGCGATCCTACTGGGTGTGCTCGAGGCCACTGGAGCCTCTTTCTGTCCTGCACGGCAGCTCTGGCCGTGCACAGCTGGCCCTGGGAGAGGAGTCATGTGAAACCAGGGGCACCCATTTCCCCCATCCCTCCAAAGGGAAGGAGCCAGGAACCAGTCCACTCAGAGCTAGCAGGAGTGTCTGGCCGACTTGCCTAGAAGACAACAGTCTAGGGCTGCAGAGTGGGGAATGGCAGGGAGAAGCAAAGGGAAGGAGGTGCAGCACAAAGAAGCAGGAGGCTCTTCTCCTAATGGCCCTTTCCGGAAATTTCTAGACATTTTCTCAAACAACTGTATTTATCCATGCCTCCACGCAGCTAGGCCCAAAGCAGCAACACCTGCATACCCACCTGGGTCCCAAGACTCTCAGGCATATAACGAGGCTTGTGAGGCTCACTTCTCTGTGAAATGAAGCTAATGTTCCTGGTCGAGGCTTGAACTAACTCAAGAAGTTGGGAGTCTGAGCTGGGTCTCACATGCTGGATGGTGGGAGGGATACGTTTGGATGTGTCAAGTCCCCAATATGAATCTTGAGAAGAGGTGGGCTGGGGGGTCTGTTCATGATGTGCTGGGTTAGAGCCCATGAGAGGGAAGGTTCGGTTCAGTTCTCTCCAGATGTGCGTGGTTGGGACTCTCCCCTGTAGCCCGTGAGATAATAAGCACTCACTGAACTCCTACTCCACACACCACACTGTGCTAGGCACCACGGGGGATCGCGGGAATACAAAAGAAATAGAAGCCGTCAGTCCAGCCCCCAAGGAGTTAGTGTAATTGGGGAGACAAGACACATGCATAAGGAGCTGAGAACTATTGCAGGGCGAAGAATGCAGATCAACAATGATAGGGCTGCTGTATAGAGCAAACTGAGAAGGGCTCTGGAATGTGCAGTATAGGCATGAACAGAGAGGGGAGGCAGCTTTGTGCCATATGTGGGATTGAGGCAGGGGGAGTAGTATAACCTTTCTTGGGTGTTTCATGTGTGCCACACACTTTAGGTGAATTCCCTCGTTTGGTTTGCACAATTCACCCAGTGCTGGAGATAAGACAGAGCCCCAGCACTGGGTATAGCCAGGCTCATTAGACTCCAGAGTCCCTGGTCGTACCCAGTGTCTAGCCCCTTCCTCTTGCTGGAGGGACTTCTAGGATATTCAGATCCAGATCCTGCATAAACCCCATTCCCTGGTCCCAGGCTGAATGGGAATTGCTGCTAGGGGGAGGGGGCGCTGACTAAGGTTTTGTGGCATCAGGGGTGACCCAGAGCACGGTGTTCTCCTGCGAAGCTCACAACCTTAAAGGCCTGGCCTCTTCTCGCCCAGCCACCGTTCGCCTTCAAGGTAGGAGGACTGGCGGGAGGGAGGGTGAGTGAGGCAGGGGCGTGCACGGCAGATGAAGTTACAGAATCGTTTGGTGTTCCCTGTTCCGCCTTCCCGAGGCCCTGCTGGGATCTGAGGGATGAAGGGTTAATTGGCAGAGCTCCATCCCTAGTGAGAGCACCTGAGACCCTGCCATGGCTGAGATGAGAATAGAAACCTGACGTCACAGCAGATTTCCCATCACGAAGCAGAGTCCTTGGGAGGGAGGCAGAGAGGGAGGTGGAGAGGGAGCCAGCAGGAGATGGTCAGGGCTCATGCCCAGCCTTGCTTCTGCCAGTCACAGTGGAGGGAATGGGGCTGGGGAAAACCGCCTAGCAGGATATCGGAGATCCAAAGGGTTGATGTGCATAAAGGGAGAGAAGACGGGAGGGAGGGAGCCAGTGTGTGGGGGAATGGGTTGTGGCTGTAGGGGCTGCCTCTCATTTGTCTCTCCCAAGGTGAAGGTACTGTGCCCCCCGCCCCTGCACCCCCACCACACCCACTATCTTATCTTACTCCTGTCAGATAGGGGCCCTGATTCAGAGAGAGGCGACTTCTTCCCACAGCCAGCCAACACACTCCCTGGTATGAGCAGCTCTCCCCCACTGGCTTCTCGGCTTGTTTATGATTGTAGTTCTGGGAGTGCTGAGTAGCCATTGTCAGGTGTGGGGGGACCCCCAGACCTCAGGGAGGGTCTTGAGGCTTGACGCCCCTGCTTTCTGCTTCTTCCTGTCCTTCCTGGGCACTGAAGTCCAGGGTGCTGACTGTCACTCCTGTCCACAGCACTGCCTGCAGCCCCCTTCAACATCACAGTGACAAAGCTCTCCAGCAGCAATGCTAGCGTGGCCTGGACGCCAGGTGCTGATGGCCGGGCCCTGCTCCAGTCCTGTACAGTCCAGGTAGGGAGCGGGGGGACAGGCTCTCCTGGCCATGTTCTTTCTGTGGCTGCCTCGGTGGCGCTTCATTCGAAGTGGTATCCCATTGACCTACACTTGTCCTCAGGGCTGGGTCCCTAGCTCTCTCCAGGTATTGCCCCTTTACCAGGAACAGCCCAACCTGCCCCTTCCCACAGGGTGCTCTGGCCACCAAGTGACTGGGCAAATTGGCTCAAACCCATACATTCTTCAGGCTGGAAAGCAGATCACTAGAGCAGATTTGAGATGCCTGGAGGGGTGTTTCTTCTGTCCGCAAAACCCCAAACCTTTGATTTAGCTGATACCCTCGTGCCCCATCCCCTGACTCATGCCAAAGAGAACAAGGCGATTGGAGGGGGTTCGAAGCCCTAGAGAGTAGAAAGCCTGGGTGAGGTGATATCAAAAACAAGAGGCAATGCAGCCTTGTTTATTTTCATCTCTTTACTCAGAGGTATTTAAGGAGTGCCTTTGAAACTGTTGTAGCCAGTTCCCCCAGGCAGGAGAGGCCCCTGCTCTGGGCTGGACTATTTGGAGGACCCTACTCTGGCCCTCCTTTGGCTGCATTCCTTGCCCCTGGGCAAGGAGGCTGTAGAGACTAGGGGATATGCCCGTCTAGATCATGAGGCTACTTGCCCCCACTTCCCCCACCTGCCACCCTACACCATTTTCTAGATACTCAAGACCTCCTCCCTATGGCCCCCAGTCGGCTTCTAGGACCTGTGCAGGCCTCTTCCCTGGTCTGTCCTTAGGAGGGCATGGTTGGTGCACCTCAAGTCCATTCCTTAGGGGAATCGGTATGCAGGCAGCACTGTCCACACCCGAGCATTTGGTATTCCCCTGGGTATAGACCCTTGGCCCACAGGCTGGCTTTTCTTATGCCACCACATTCTGGCTTGGGAATCCCAGGGATCAGGGGATTATAAATGCAAAACTGATCTTCCAGGTTGTTTTGAAGCTTTATTTGTCCATATATCATCATAGGAAATATTTTGTTTAATAATTCTCATTAGAATAATTCTGATTCTAACATTTAAATATTTAGCCACATGGTACGTGGCTTTCCATTTGTACTCTTGTGGTGGGCGCCCTAAAAAATGTGAGGTGAAGGCCTGGTTCACGATGCCCCTAGACTCCCAGTTACTCTGCCCTTGAGAAACTGACTCTTTTGCACTGGCCTGTAGTTATAATAAATGGGAGCTCTTCTAACTGAGTTATGTACCAAGTGAGAAAGCGTATGAGTTTTCTGGAGTAGTTGGCAAAGTCCTTGGCAGAAAAAGTGGTGTTTGCACTGAGTTTTAAAAGATGAGTTGGGCTTTGCTAGGAAGAGCAGTTCCAGGCCAGGGAGCAGCATTTGCAAAGGCATGGAGGTGAGGATCCTTGTGTTGTTAGAGTGGGGGCAGGCGGGAGGGGGTGGGTTGCAAGTGTTTGCTGATAGGCTTAGAGGAGGCATTAACTCAAGATACACCCCCCTTCCTGCGCCCCCTGCTCCCACCCAGGCCTGTCCCATCTTCTGTCTCCCTCCTCTTCATCATCGTTATTTTGCTGCTCTTCTGTAGGTGACACAAGCTCCAGGAGGCTGGGAGGTCCTGGCTGTGGTGGTCCCCGTGCCACCTTTTACCTGCCTCCTCCGGGACCTGGCACCTGCCACCAACTACAGCCTCAGGGTACGCTGTGCCAATGCCTTGGGGCCTTCTCCATATGCTGACTGGGTGCCCTTTCGGACAAAGGGCCTAGGTAAGGGACTTACGGGGCGGAGTGGCTGGGCAGGGCCTGAGTGGGGAACAGGCAATGTTGGTTTCAGTTCTGAAGGAAGTTGCTGGAGAGAGAGGTTACCTGATGGGAGGGTCCTGCCTCCTTCAGCAAACACCAAGTGTCTGCTGCATACCTATGAACACGAATCCAGCCTCTTCCCCTGCAGCTTTAGTTCTAGGGGGTGGAGCAAACATGCAAATTAGGAAAGATCTGATAGTATGGTGAGGAAGAGTGCTCCCAGGGTGTCTAGGCATACCCCGATAAAGAGAAGTTTGATAAGAAACAAGCCATACTGGGGCTAGGGGAAATCACTGTGGAAGACAGCATGGCAAGTGCAAAGTTCCTGTGGAAGGAACTTGCTTGGAGTTCTCTTAGCAATTGCTGAGAGTTGGCGGGACTATGAGGGGGAAAGGGTAAAGGATGCTGCTGAGGCAGTAACTAAGAGCAGCACTGTACCTAGTGGGGTGCTGTGGGGCCTGCCATTGTTACCTCTCCTCCACAGGACCAAAGGTGAGAGCAGTCAGAGCTGGGAGGCCGGTTCTAACCCATACCTGTAGCTGTCTGAGCTGTGTAGCTCTTGAGAGTTGGTTCCAAAGGCTAGCACGGGATGGTGATGGTGGGGAGGGCAGCGCTCTTAGTGGTATTCTCTCTTTGGGTACAGCCCCAACCAGCGCTCCCCAGAACCTCCATGCCATCCGCACAGACTCAGGCCTCATCCTGGAGTGGGAAGAAGTGATCCCTGAGGGCCCTTTGGAAGGCCCCCTGGGACCTTATAAATTGTCCTGGGTTCAAGACAACGGAACCCAGGTAAGGGGAGATAAACCTCAACTCTCCAAGGGTATCAGAGTGAGCTTTCAGGACTCAAGACCTTCAGAGCTTCCAAATGGCTGTCCTTGGTGGGTCCCGGGACTTCGGTGGGCGGGCTTCCCAGCATCCCAGAGAGTCCACTTTTCCCCACCTTCCCCTGCAGGCTTCTCTCCTTAATTGGATTGTCTCCTGTTAGAATTGCATCAGGTGGTGACCATTTCATTTGTAAAGCAGGAAGCTCATTCCTGAACAAACTGGGGGAGGGCACAGATAAGGCTCTTATCCCCAGCCTAGTTCCCTCCCAGCCCCCGCCACTGCCTGCAGGGACTGAGCCTTGTTTGTGTTCAGGGGAGGCCTCTGCAGCCTGGAAGGGGAATGTGATGACTCAGCAGGTTGTGTTCCTGGGGTCCCTGAACCCACGGTGTCCCTTGCCTCCTGGGTTCCTAGCTAGACCACTTTCTGCATTCAGGCCTCTCTGGAGGCCTCCTTCTCTGACTCAAATGTGTGATGGGGTCTTTTCCTGGCTCTAGGGTGAGCTGACAGTGGAGGGGACCAGGGCCAACTTGACAGGCTGGGACCCGCAGAAGGACCTGACTGTGCGTGTGTGCATCTCCAGTGCGGTTGGCTGTGGGCCCTGGAGTCAGCCACTGGTGGTTCCTTCGCATGACCATGCAGGTGAGGCCTGTAGGGGAAGGGCAGACGGGTCTTGGCTTTCAGGGGCAGCCTAGATTGGTGGGAGGAGCTGGGCAGAACCTTTGCTCCTAATAGATCCAAAGACTCAGCTGTTGAGGCCAGGGTTGGTATTTGAACTATATGCCCTTCTCCTCCCTCTGCCACAGCACTAGCATAGAATTCCCTGGTGGATTTGTAGGTTCCAACAGCCAGGGCCTGTTACTGACAGGGTAGGAACTCTTGGGGCTTCCTTTGGGGCTTCTTTCCACTCAGGACCTTTATGGACCCAAGAAAACCTCTTGTCCAGGACAGATGGCCATCACTGGAAAGTTCTAAAGGGACTCCTTTTGTCAGCCTCGCTCATGCCACTGGCTCTTTCTCCTCCCATAGGCCAACAGGGTCCTCCCCACAGCCGCACATCCTGGGTGCCTGTGGTCCTGGGTGTGCTGACAGCCTTGGTGACAGCCGCGGCCTTGGCCCTCATCCTGCTTCGAAAGAGGAGGAAGGAGACACGGTTCGGGTAAGGGGGTAAGGACAAGGAGGGAAAAGCAAAAGGTGACAGACGATCTTGGAGCTGACTCCAACTCTGGGGTTTCCCCTTAGGCAAGCCTTTGACAGTGTCATGGCCCGGGGGGAGCCAGCCGTTCACTTCCGGGCAGCCCGGTCCTTCAATCGAGAGCGGCCTGAGCGCATTGAGGCCACGTGTGAGTATGGGAATCTTAGGAAACGTGGGCTGCCTTCATGCCCCTAGCTATATTCTTTTTGCTGGCTCATGAGTTTGGCCAGTGTGTCTGAGCATCCATGAGTCCTGAGCACACAACAGTGAAAAGAAACACAGACCTACCCTCACGGAGGTTACCATCCTGGCTGTGGGAGAGCCAAATGAAGCTCATGTCTGCTCTGAGGGCCGAGACTGGGGTGCGGGTCAGGAGCCCAGGAGGCCCCCCTTCTCTCTCCCCACAGTGGACAGCTTGGGCATCAGCGATGAGCTCAAGGACAAGTTGGAGGACGTGCTCATCCCTGAACAGCAGTTCACCCTGGGCCGGATGTTGGGCAAAGGTGTGTGGGGCTGCGTGGGGGTTAGCTGAGTGGAGGTTGTCTTCGATGGCTCCCCATGCTTTGAGGGTGTGGGCTTGGGACAGCTCCTGTGAACAGGATATGCTTGAAGACTCCTGAGTGTGGGCTGTTTGGGGGACTGGTGGCTGGGGATGCAGACAAGGGAGTCTTCCTGCAGTGGCCCCGGAGTCTAGTGATTTGTGTCCCTGAGGTGGGTCACCTTGGAGAAAAGGGGGTGGTGGGAGCGGTAGGGCAAGGACCCTCACCGTTGTTTGGATCTGTTCCTAGGAGAGTTCGGTTCAGTGCGGGAGGCCCAGCTGAAGCAGGAGGATGGCTCCTTTGTGAAAGTGGCCGTCAAGATGCTGAAAGGTGAGTGGAGAGTAGGAGACACGGAGTGAAGTGTGGCAAAGGTGACTGAGCCGGAAGTAGGCTCTGCTGTGCCCCTAGACTTTCCAAGAAGAGTTAGTTAGCACTAACTAGGATGCCGCCTGTGCCACGTGAATAATTCAAAAGCATAAACCCACACACATTTGTGCCCTCGCCTTTGCTTTCTGCCATCAGCAGTGACCGTCCTTTGGGCTCCTTCAGGGTGATTACAGCTATCCGAACCAAAGGGAAGACTGTTAGCAAGTGGAGAAATGGTTGGAGAGCCCCACTGCATGCGGGCTTAGACCAGAATTGGGGGGCACATCTCCCTTATTTCCTCCCTACCATCCTTTTCTTCCAGCTGACATCATTGCTTCAAGTGACATTGAAGAGTTCCTCAGGGAAGCGGCTTGCATGAAGGAATTTGACCACCCACACGTGGCCAAGCTTGTTGGTGAGCTCCTTCCTGAGGGACAACAGATACACAATAGGGCTAAAAGTGTGCTCCCCCAAGGTGGGAGGGCAGCCTATAGGAGAGAAGTTTGGACTTAGCTGGTGAGTAAACAGGGAGCAAAATCGCGAGGAAGGTCCTGGCTGAACTCTGATCCCCCACCAGGTAAGGGGTTTATTGTGTGGGCCCTGTACCAGAGGTCTGTGCTAAAAGACTGCTCATGTGAACAGAGGAGAAGGAGGGGACAAGTAGATGCTGCAGAGATCTGGGGGCAGCCACATCTTAGGTGGTCACCAGTAGGTAGGCCACTGTGGACCTACAGAGAGGGAGGTAACAGAGTCAGGGCTGGAAGTAGGACCTAGCAGGTGGGAGACTCATGCAGACCCCTGAGCCGTCTCTTGACTGCTGTGTGCCTGCTCCTGACTCTCTCTTGTCCCTAGGGGTGAGCCTCCGCAGCAGGGCCAAAGGCCGTCTCCCCATCCCTATGGTCATTTTGCCCTTCATGAAGCACGGGGACCTGCACGCCTTCCTGCTCGCCTCCCGGATTGGGGAGAATCCCTTTGTGAGTGCCTGGGGTGGACTGGCCGGGAGTTGGAAAGGGACAAAGGGACAAAGACCCTGGGAGAGAGTTTGGCTTGGTGGGCAGGGCCGACCAAACTGGTTAGGAAGAGAGGCAGCCTGGCTTTGACCCTTTCGATGTTAGAAGGCTTCCTTCTCCCTCACAAAGCCCTGCTGAGAATTTTAGGCCGGGCCAGGGCCATTCTGGGAGAAGAGACCTCTGGAGCTCCGCCCTGGGAGCTCTGGGATGCTCTATCAGGTCTCCCAAAACTTCTTTGCCTTGGGAAGCCCCGCTAAGTCCCCTCCTTTCAGGAATCCCAAGTCTTTAAGCTTTCTGGCCAGGGAACCCCCTTCATCCTACCCTGCCTGGGTAGGTGAGCAAATCAGGCCTGAACTTGCCCTGTCTGCCCACCAGAACCTGCCCCTGCAGACCTTGGTCCGGTTCATGGTGGACATCGCCTGTGGCATGGAGTACCTGAGCTCCCGGAACTTCATCCACCGAGACCTGGCTGCTCGGAATTGCATGTATGTGAATTCTAGAGGGCTGGGGGTGGGGGGTGGGGGGTGGGGACGGAGCAGATTGTGACAGGAGGACTAGCTCATGGTCAGCTCTCACCTGGGACAGTGTGTGCTGTGTGTGGGGACAGCTGGGGAGCCAAGATGCCGTAGTTTCTGTAAGGCCGACTCCATCCTCCAACACCCCTCACAGGCTGGCAGAGGACATGACGGTGTGCGTCGCCGATTTCGGGCTCTCCCGGAAGATCTACAGCGGGGATTACTATCGCCAGGGCTGTGCCTCCAAATTGCCTGTCAAGTGGCTGGCCCTGGAGAGCCTGGCTGACAACCTGTATACTGTGCACAGTGACGTGGTGAGCTGGGTGGCACAGTGAAGTCTGGTGGGGATGCCGGCAGTGTGGCCGGCCCTGTAGAGTCCTCAAGAACCTAGCCTGGTCCCTTCTTTGGGCTTGGGCTGCCCCCTTAGAGCCCTGAGGTATGTTTGGCTTAGGGCTCTGCCCTGCCCAGGAAACCTAGTGACATCTCCCCTCCAAACTTTCTTCCGTCCCAGTGGGCCTTCGGGGTGACCATGTGGGAGATCATGACTCGCGGGCAGACGCCGTACGCTGGCATTGAGAATGCTGAGATTTACAACTACCTCATCAGCGGAAACCGCCTGAAACAGCCTCCAGACTGTATAGAGGATGTGTGAGTGCCCTGGGAAGGGGATTTGGGGAGGAGGGAATTTGGGGTTTCAGGTGCTGGCTGCCGCCACAGCTGCTGGTCCAGTAGGAGCCCAGAACCTCAACTGGACCCTTTGTTTAATGTCCTTGTCATGAGAGGGAGGACCAACCCCCACCCCAAGCTGCCTCTTCCTCTGCCACCTCCCTGTTTTCTTTCTCTCCCCCTTTCCCATCCTGTCATCTTTTTGTTCCACCTTTTCTTACACTCTATTTTCTCCAGTTTCCAGGAAGAACCAGGAACCCCCAAGGGCAGAAGGTACAGGGTTGAGCAATAGCGCACGATTCTGTCACCTTCTTCCCACCCCCACTCCTTCTCAGTCCCCAGCTAGTCTAAGAAAACCTCCCAGGCTGAGCCCTCCCTCCCCCTCAGAGAAGACTGCACCAGGGCAAGAAAAAACTGCTGCTGTATTACATTCCTCCGCTAGACAAGGGGGGGTGCGGGGGTGCGGGAGGCTGGCCTCCTCTTAAGGGAGTGGAGAGACCCAAGATGCTGGGGAGAAGGGAACTGCCTTCTTTCCTTTCTGAAAGCCCGGAACCCTTGGGAGCGGGGTAGGGTCGGGATACCCGCTCCCAACCAGGGGAGGGTTGTAAACCTCTCATGACTGGAAGACTAGCATTAGCTCGGTAGTTTACAGGCATTCTTTCAGGTAATCCCCTTCTCACCCTATAAGGAAAAGACTATCATTATCGCTATTTTGTAGATGAGAAACTAAGATTAAAGAGGTTAAGTAACATGGCCAAAGTCACACAGCTATTAAGTAGCTGAGTTGGGATGTGAACCTAGATCCCTGTGATTTTAGAATAGGTGCCTCTTAACGATGACGCCAGACATACTTTGTCCGTTCTAGTGTTGTATTTCCCACCCTGTGTAAGCCAGAGTCTCCCTGTGGCCCTGGAGGACGTTTTCGCTAGTACCAGGGGGAGATAGTCCACAGTGATCCGGACAAAGAATCTGCTCCCTACTTCTTGCTGTGGCCCAAACACAGGGACAGGCACAAGAAGGCCCAGCCTGAATGGTGGGGGCCTCTTTCTCTAGAGCCGTGGGTTTGAAGTTTGAAGGTTTAAAGGAGATCCTGGACTGTGGGTGAGAGGGAGATCTGAGGGTGAGAGCCAGACCCTACCCCTTCTCATTGAGCACAGCTCAGGTCTCCCTGTAGTTGCAGCCTGCTTGGGCATCTGGAGCAGCAGAGGTTCCACTGGGCATCAGGGACCAGGCCCCAGCTCAGCTTCCTCCTGGGCCAGAGCTAGTGTTGTCAATAGGGCGGGTGCTGGCCTCGTACCAGCCAGCCTGGTGGACAGGCGCCAATTGGCTCCTAGCACAGCCTTGACAATGTAGCCCAACCAGGCCACATCCCCATGGCCCCGGACCATTTCCATGGCCTCTTCGATGTCTGGCACCATTCCGCCCATCACTGGGGGCCTCTGTCAGGAGGGCCAATGTGTGGGACAGTGTTTGGGGCTTCTGTTTGTGGGCACAAGAGAGTCAGGCATTTGCTCTGACTGCGTCTGTTCTCAATCCCCTTCCATTAGTTCTTTTTTTTTTTTTTTTTCCTTAAGCCTGAGGCGTTCCCGGGAACAGGAATAAGACCTCAGGGAATCTGTAAGGCTCCTGAAAGTGTGTGTAAAAGTGTTCCTTCCCCCAGGGGAGAGGGCTAGAAGCTTTTCTACATACAAAGATGTCCATGAACAATGAAGATTTAAGTCATCCTGAGTGGGTGGGGATTTAGGACAAAGGGCGGCTGTTCAGATCCTTGCCATTAAAATAACAGTGACTCCTGCCGGGTTCTGCAAAGCAAAAACACTCCTCATGCCCCCCCCCCCCACCATTGCCTAGTCTCACTTTCCACCTGTGTGACCTTGGTTGAGGTTCTTAACCTCTCTGGCCCTCAGTTTCCACAGTGATAAAATAGGACTGATTTATTCCACAGGGTTATGGTGAGAATTAAATAGTAAATGTAAAATACTTAGACGAGGGCCTGATACACAGTAAGTGTGGGCTCCGTATGGGCGTGTTTAGGAAAAGTTTTCCAAATCCTGGTTCTGTAGGCTTAAGGGGCCTCTGCCTCCCCTTGTGGTTTCTTACTGCCTCCCCTCCCGCTTCTTTCTGCCCAGGTATGAGCTCATGTACCAGTGCTGGAGCGCCGACCCCAAGCAGCGGCCGAGCTTCACATGCCTGCGGATGGAGCTGGAAAGCATCCTGGGCCACCTGTCCGTGCTGTCCACTAGCCAGGACCCCTTGTACATCAACTTGGAGAGAGCCGAGGAGCCGGCCGAGGGAGGCCCCCTGGAGCTGCCTGGCGGGGACCAGGCCAGCAGCGGGGCTGGGAATGGCAGTGGTGTGGGGGCAGTGGGGGGCACCCCCAGTAGTGACTGTCGGTACATCCTCAGCCCTGGGGGGCTGGCTGAGCGGCCCAGGCAGGAGGAGCAGCAGCCGGAAAGCCCCGTGGGTGAGGCCCAGAGGCTGCTGCTGCTGCAACAAGGGCTACTGCCCCACAGTAGCTGTTAGCCCACAGGTGTCCGGGGCCATCCTGCTGGCCGATGAAGCCGCGGCTGACCCTAGCCCAGGCAGCATGGCGTGGAGGCTCCTGTGGTAGTCCTCCCAAGCTGCGCTGGAAGCCTGGACTGACCAAATGGCCCAATCCCAGTTCTTCCTGCGGCCACTCTGGCCTGCCTGGCATCAGTTCAGGCCTTGGCTGGGTGGAGGTGGGCCAGGCCTGGTTGCCTAAACCCAGGCAGCTGGCGGGAGGGGGTGGTTATGTTTCCATGGTTACCATGGGTGTGGAGAGGAGTTGGGGGAGGGTAGATCCAGCCCTCTGGGCCCCTACTCTCTGGCCCAGCAGCCCCTGCTGCTTCAGTGCATGCATTGAGGTGTCTCTGACCGCCCCCCACCGGGGGCCCAGCCCTGCCTGTGCTTGGGGTTCAAGTGTGCGGGTTGTTTCTGCGCACAGAGAGATGCCCTTGTGTTATGCTCCTGTAGGTGAGAGTTGGTAAGGGTTTGATGCATTCAGGTCCCAAGTGCTGTTGTAGGAGGCAGTGGGGCACTCTCAGTTCTGAGTCTGCGTCCCCTTCCTGATGACCCATCCCGCCTAGGCCAGGAGTCATGTGCAGCTGACCAGGTCACAGCAAGGCATGCTGAATTTCTGCAGGCTACTGTTTGCCCAGCCTGTAAAGGTAGTCCACCCAGCCCGGCAAGAGGAAGGGGTGCTGTAGGCCCTGCCCAGGAACGCGTGAGGCCAGAGAGGAGTCCCGGGGCCCCTCTTTACGCCCTCCCACAGTCTGTCTGAGCATGCTACCAAATCCCAAAATATCCTAAGACTAACAAAGGCAGCTGTGTCTGAGCTCAATCCTTCCACGCAGCATCCCTTAGTCCCAATTTTCCCTCTCACTGGAGACCCTCTTCTGTCCCAAGTCTCCAGATACAGAGAGAATATAGGCCTGATGGCTGGTGTGGGTGAGAGGGAGTTACTGGAGCCTAGACCCCAGTCCTGGCTAGGGGAGCCCCCGGATTGCATGGGGCAGGCCCCTGCTGTTAGGGATATTTCCAAGCCGTTAGAAGCTATTTAAAAACAGAAATAAAATTGAGAGCTAAAGACCCAAGGCTTTGTCTCTTAACTGTTTACTTTTTTCCAGATCGCAATAATGAAGCATCTCTGCGTAGAGAAAAATCTGGAAAGACATATGCCAAAATGTTAACAGCTGTTATCTTTACATGATGTGAGTTAAAGGGACTTGTTTTCCTTTGTGCCTTCCAAGTTTTCTGCACAGAGCACAAAATGCTTTGGTAATTAAAGAATACCCCAAAGAATGGTAATTGCATTAAAGATAATACATGGTCATTGTAGACAATAAGGAAAGTGTAGAAAATCATTTTTTTAAAAAGTGCCAAATACCTGTATTTCTACCACCTAGAGAAAGCTGCCCTTGACCTTTTGAAAACGTAAATGTTTTGAAAAAGTTCTTTATCTTGGAACAAGGACAAAGACAGCTTTGGCTGTCTCTTCCTCTTTCAGACTTTCCTTCTATCCTTGGGTGTGGAGACTTTGTTCTCACCTTTATACCATTGCTGGGAGCCAGGGGAAACCGGGAGGAAACGGCAAAGAGAAAATGTATGCCTCTAGTGTGCTAGAAATAAGACCATGAAGTTTGCTTCCAACTATTTCCACCTGAAATCTTTAATTTAGAAGCTTTATTTATTTATTTATTTATTTGACCAGAGCACAAGCAGGGGGAGTGGTAGGCAGAGAGAGAGAGGGAGAAGCAGACTCTCTGCTGTGCAGGGAGCCCTATGTGGAATGTGGGGCTGGATCCCAGGATCCCGGGATCATAACCGGAGCCGAAGGCAGACACCTAATTGCTTAACTATTTGACCATCCAGGCACCCTATAGCTTAGAAGCTCTGTGAGCAAGCTCGTGGGAACATGTAGCAGGAGGTACGAGAACTGGGCCTTTCTCTGTGGAGGGGTGTGGGAAGACAGGGAGGGACACAGGTATCGCCCTGCTGGCTCAGGGCAATGGAATGGGGCCGGTTCTTCTGAAAGCAAATATCCTGAAAAACCTGGTGCTGGTACTCTAGATTCTGGTTCCCACATGGATGGTGAGACCTGAATTCACTTCCAGGGAAGTGGTTTTCAGAATGTTTCCTGCTGTGATTAGCTTTAACTGCAAGTAATGATTACTTGTGAAGTAATGTTTGAGAATTACTGATGGAGAAGAGCTTTACTCTCAAATACTCCTCTGCAATTAATGGACTTCCCATTATGTGCCAGGCACTGCACCAAGCACTTCATATATATTATCTCACTTAATACAGGGAGCATTCCTATAAGATGGCAACATAATGATCATCCCCGGATCGGACAGAAATGGGGGTTAGTAACTTGTCCAAGGTTCTATAGCTATGAATGGTCAATTCAGGCTTGAAACCCGCAAAGTCAGAGAGCACAGCCTGGGCTCTCTCTCCCACCAGCATTCCAGAGGGCACCCTTAGGCAGCTCTGTCAGGATCACGTTATCTTTTGGGTGAATGCAGGTCAGTAGAAGGCACCTTTTAAAACGTACAGGAGGCTCCTGGGTGACTCAGTCGGTTAAGCATCCAACTCTTGATCTCAGCTCAGGTCATGATCTCAGGGTTTTGAGTTCAAGCCTTGGCATTGGACTCCATGCTGGGCGTGGAGCCTACTTAAACAAACAAACAAACAAACAAAAAAAGGAGTTCTAGTATGAGTGTGTGTGTGTGTGTGTGTGTGTGTGTGTGTGTGTGTGTGTAAGTATTTAAGTGGGAGTTACCTACCAGTGATTAAATCTGTGTCAATAATTTTCTCAGCTCAATCTCTTTTCCCTTAGCATCTTGGCTCCTCCATGGTCAAGGAGTTTGAGGTAGGTGATAATAGACTTTTTGAAAACCTTTTTTTGAAGTATAGGAAACATGTCAAAAAAAATAGACCAACCCGAAGTACACAGTCCTTAAGAATTTTAGCAGTCAGATCCAAATAACCAGTAACCAGATCAAGAGACAATATTACCAGCACTCTAGAAACAACCCTTGGGGCCCCCTCCCAACCTCTGCCTCCTCCCACCTCCCCAAAGGTAACCTCTCTCCTGACTTACAACATCATGGATGAAAGTAGCTCTTTTTTCAAAGTTCATATAGAGTCATATAGGGTGGATTATTTTGTGTTTGCTTTCTTGCATCCCACAATATGTTTTTCAAAATCATTGAACTGTAGCAATTTTGAGAAGTGGGGGTCAAAAAAAATACAAGAGTAGAACAGTGGTTCTGTTCTGTTTTGTATTTTTCTTTTTTATTATGTGCCTAGCTCAGTGCCTCTCCTGCCTCAAATAAGATCCCCCAGACAGATCCCCCGAGAATCTTGTTAAAATGTAGACTCCTATTCAGTAGGTCTAGGGTGGGGCCTGAGATTCTGCATTCTAACAAGTTCTCAGGAGCTGCTGCTGCTGCTGCTGCTGCTGCTGCTGCTGCTGGTCCACACTTCCTGGTGCAAGCTGCATCAGTAATTGGAAAGGGTGCAGCATGTATTTGAAAAATCATTCAATGCCTCCAATATATGGTCATGATAGCAAAATCACACTGTTGGAGAACATGAGAGCATAGTTTAATTTCTACATCTTAAAAATGTAGTTACTTTTTCTTTATGTGTATCTGACTGATAGTTTTCTACTTAAAAAAAATGAGTTTATTGGGATGCCAGCATGGCTCAGTTGGGTGAGCATCCGACTCTTGACCTCAGCTCAGGTCTCGGTCTTAATCTCAGGGACATGAGTTCAAGCCCTGTACTGGGCTCCACATGGTATGGATCCTACTTTAAAAAAAATAAAATAACAGGGATTCCTGGGTGGCTCAGCAGGTTAAGTCTCTGCCTTCAGCTCAGCTCATGATCTCAGGGTCCTGGGATCGAGCCCCGCATCTGGGCTCTCTGCTTGGCAGGGTGTCTGCTTTGCTCCTCTGTGCCTGCCTCTCTGCCTACTTGTGATCTCTGTCGGTCAAATAAATGAATAAAATCTTTAATAAATAAATTAATTTATCTTTTGAATAGATGTCAAATACCCATGGTAAAAAATTTTAAAAGTACAGGAGGGTTGATGGGGTGGAGGGAAGGAAGGCAGACTATGAAAATGCCTTGCCCCTGGCCCCTCAGTTTCTCTTTACAGAGGCAGCCACTGTTTACTGATTTGATTGAAATTTTCAGTAATCTGTATATTTTTCTTTTGCACACATGGTAGGTTAATGTACAAGCTGTTCTAACCCTTTGCTCTTTTTATTAACAGTATGTGTGGGGTGCCTGGCTGGCTCAGTCAGTGCAGCATGCAGCTCTTGACCTCAGGGTTGTGAGTTCGAGCCCCAATTGAGTATAGAGATTATTTAAAAATAAAAAAATCTTTAAAAAAAACAGTATGTATAAGTAAATAGCTGAAATATTTTAAGTGCTTTTGGTGTGTGTTTTTTTTTAAGATTTTATTTATTTGAGAGAGAGAGAATGAGCTGGGGAGGAGGGGCAAAGGGAGAGGGAGAAGCAGACTCCCTGCTGAGCAGGGAGCCCAATGTGGGACTCGATCCTAGGGTCCTAGGATCATTACCTGAGCTGAAGGCAGATGCTTAACCTACTGAGCCACCCAGACGCCCCTAAGTGCTTTCAGTATTTTATTTGTTTTTTAAAAAAGATTTTATTTACTTATTTGACAGAGACACAGCAAGAGAGGGAACACAAGCAGGGGGAATGGGAGAGAGAGTAGCAGGCTTCCCGCTGAGCAGGGAGCCAGACTTGGGGCTCGATCCCAGGACCCTGGAATCATGACCTGAGCTGAAGGCAGACACTTAATGACTGAACCACCCAGGTGCTCCTCTTTAAGTATTTTAACTATAGTTTTCACAACAGCCTTGTGCACTAGGTACAATTATTGTTTCTATTTTATGGATGTAATTCAAATCTAGTACACCTTCCAGAGCCTCTATATTATGAAGATTTTTTCCTAGCTGTCATCTACATCTCCAGTCTTCTATGTGCTGTGTCATAATTTAACAAGTTCCTTATCAGTGGACATTTAGGTTGTTTCTAATACTTGGCTATTACAAATAGTGCTGCAATGAATTTTTTAGGCATATATCCATAGGAATGTATCCATAGAAAAATGCCTAAAAAGTTGCTGGAGGAATCTGCATTTTTAAAAAAGATTTTATTTATTTATTTGACAGAGAGAGAGAGATCACAAGTAGGCAGAGAGGCAGGCAGAGAGAGAGAGGGGGAAGCAGGCTCCCCGCTGAGCAGAGAGCCTGACGCGGGGCTCGATCCCAGGACCCTGAGACCATGACCTGAGCCGGAGGCAGAGGCCTTAACCCACTGAGCCACCCAGGTGCCCCAGGAATCTGCATTTTAAATTGATATTGCCAGGTTGCCTTCCAGAGGTGAGTTTTGCCTATTTGGTAAGTGAAAATGATACTTCATTGTAATTTTAGTTTCCATTTCTCTTAATAAGTGAGGCATCTTTCCATGTTTAAGAGCCATTTTGATCTTCTTTACTGTGAACCGTTTGTCATATCCTTTTCTACTAAGTTGTCGGTCCCTTGTTACTAATTTGTAAGTGCTCATTTTATATAAAGAAAATTATTCCTGTGTGATATGTGGCGTAGGTGATGTTTTTGTTGCGCTTGTTCAAATATGTCTATGTGTGAGTGTTTATGTGTGTGGCTTCTAGGTTTTATGTGATACTTAGAAAGGATTTCCCCACTCCAGGGGTGTTTTTAGAAACCTGTATTTTCTTTTAGTGCTTCTTAAAGTTTATTTTTCAGTGTTTGATTTTGAGTCGTCTAAAAGAAGTGAGATACAGATCCAATTTTTTTTTTCCAGGTGACTACCCATTGTCTCAACACTGTATGTTGAACGATCTATATAGTTTCTTTCTTCCTTTTTTTTTTTTTAAGATTTTATTTATTTATTTGACAGAGAGAGAGGTCACAAGTAGGCAGGGAGGCAGGCAGAGAGAGAGGAGGAAGCAGGCTCCCTGCTGAGCAGAAAGCCCTACCTGGGGCTGGATTCCAGGACCCTGAGATCATGACGTGAGCTGAAGGCAGAGGCTTAACCCACTGAGCCACCCAGGTGCCCCCCCGATCTATAGTTTCTGAACACTTCTTTAATAATCCATCTCTATGGGGGCACCTGGGTGGTTCAGTGGGTTAAAGCCTCTGCCT